GAAAAGGCGGAGCCTCTGGGGGCTGAATCAGGGCCCGAGGCCTCCTTGGGAGCCAAACCCAGGACCGAATCTGGGCCCGAGGCCGAGGCAGAGCCGTTGGACTTCGTGGTGGCCACGGAACAGGAGTTTGAGGAAGTGCTGGCCATCTCGGGGGGCATCTACGGGGGCCTCGACTACCTTCCCAGCCGCTACCACAGCTGGCTTCGGGATCCCAACCGCACGGTGGTGCTGGCCAAGCGCAACGGAGGAGTGGTGAGAGCCGGGGGCGGGGCCCAGGTGCAAAGGGGTGAAGCCAGTTTGGGTGCATGGATCTTAGGGCAGGGCGAACCTCTCCCTGCCGTCGTCCAATCGCTGAGAAAACAGAGTCTGCTTTGGGACCAGAGTATAGGGCGTGTGGATCCAGGGGTTAGATCAGTGACGGTGGGATGCGGGTGGTAAAGAACTCCGGTTGGCAGAGGAACCGGAGGCCTAACCGAGAGAGCTTCGAGTTTGAGGATCCGTCTGAGGAGTTTCTGAAGGCAGGAACACAAAAAGTGAGGAACAGGCAAAAGGGGGTAAGCTAGGGGTGGGAACAGCTAGAGACCAGGACCCCTGAGCAGACGAAACTCTCGCACTAAGAGGACCTGGAATGGAAGCCAACTGCCGGAAAGGAGTTGGGCTGGGGGTGGAGCGGAGAGGAAGTGGGCGTGGCAAGCTCCGGGAATCGGACCCATGAGAGTGGGCGTGGCGAGAGGTCAGGGACTCCGGGCACTCGGAGCTGAAGCTTCTCAAGAGGTGGAAGAGGTCCCTGGCGAGTGACTTCTGCCGGCTCCGGAATTCGAGACCCACATGTGGAGAGAGCTCCCTGGGCCGCCCGGGTCTGGCCTGGCGCCCGGGTGGTGACGACGGAGTGTTCAGCGTGTGGGAAGAGGCGAGCCTTGAGAGCCAAGAGCCCTGGCAGGGCGGAGGCGGGGAGGGGGGCCATTAATGGCCTCGGTCCGCAGATCGCGCTGGAATCGGTGAACGTGATCGACGCCGGGGAGACAGCGCTGGTGGAGGGGCTACGCGTGGCGCCCTGGGAGCGCGGCAAGGGCGTGGCGCGGCTGCTGCAGCGCTTCTGCTCGCAGCTGGTCAAGCAACAACACCCGGGGGTCAAGGTGGCACGGCTCACCCGGGACGATCAGCTGGGTCCCCGGGAGCTGAAGAAATATCGCTTAATCACTAAGCAGGTGAGAAGGATTTGGGAGCTCGGATGACCTCCCCGCTGGGTCATAGGAGCGGCCAACCCAACGCTGGCTGGCTTTCTCTTTGGGCTCTACCAGGTGGAGCGGCCCATGAGCTTGTCCTGGGACTCCCACTCCTTACCCAGCTCCCTTCGCCCAGGGGAAGTAAAACTCCCGACTCCCAACCTCAAACCCCGACTCCCAACCTCAAACCCCGGTCCTTACTTCCTGATGTCCTTGACCCTGCTTCTCTACGTTGACCCCGCCTCTTTTCAGAAACACAAACATCTTAATTTAAGGATTTGTCCCTTTTCTCCCCTTCCAACCGACTGATAGACCTCCCTCGGTTTCACTCCCCTTGGAGACCCCCCCATTGGCAGCTCCACACTGATCCTACCTCTCTTTGGGGATCCAGGTTTTTGGAACCCTTATCCCTGAAGCTTCCCTGCTACCCTCAGAGATCTGGGCTTTCAACCTACCCCACTCTGCCTGGGCCCTTCAAGGTCGGTCCTCCCGAGGACCCAGGTGGAAGTCCGTGGTTGTAAATGTGGGAGCGAATGCCAAGGGGCCCTGGGCTCGCCAGCCCTCCCACCGTGCCGTACCCCCTGCTCACTGGTGCCCCCCGCAGGGCATCCTTTTGGTCCGATTCAACGCAACGGCGCTACTGGCCGGGCTGGGCGCCCGGCTGGCTGCACTGCAGAAATCCGGCACCTTCTCGCTGCTGCCCACCGAGGCCGTGAATGAGGCGGGCGGCGACGTGGAACGCCTCCTGCTGTCGCCTTCTGTGCAGGGATCCAGGTTTTTGGAACCCTTATCCCTGAAGCTTCCCTGCTACCCTCAGAGATCTGGGCTTTCAACCTACCCCACTCTGCCTGGGCCCTTCAAGGTCGGTCCTCCCGAGGACCCAGGTGGAAGTCCGTGGTTGTAAATGTGGGAGCGAATGCCAAGGGGCCCTGGGCTCGCCAGCCCTCCCACCGTGCCGTACCCCCTGCTCACTGGTGCCCCCCGCAGGGCATCCTTTTGGTCCGATTCAACGCAACGGCGCTACTGGCCGGGCTGGGCGCCCGGCTGGCTGCACTGCAGAAATCCGGCACCTTCTCGCTGCTGCCCACCGAGGCCGTGAATGAGGCGGGCGGCGACGTGGAACGCCTCCTGCTGTCGCCTTCTGTGCAGCGAGATGTGCTTCCGGGAGGGACCATCATCCAGGACTGGCAGCCCTACCGGCCAAGTGAGAGCAACCTGCGTCTGCTGGCGGCTAAGGGCCTAGAGTGGCGCGTGGACAGCCGCACGCACCCGCGCGTGCTCACGCTGTGCACGCGCCCCTTTCCTATCCCGCACGGAGGCGATGGCACTTGGCGCTACCTCAACATCGACGCCTTCGGCAGCGACGGCGCGCAGGTGCAAAGTCAGCTGCTGTGGCACCTGCAGCGCCAGGCCCCGCGCCTCGCTGGCCTCAACGTCATGTGTCAGCTCTTCCTGGCGCCTCAGTTGTGGTCACAGTTGGCTGACTTCTGCCAGGCCGGCCTGGGTCTTGAGTTGGTCAAGGGTTATACCGAACAGTACCTGCTGGAGGTCGACATCTGAGGGCTCTCCTTCCAGAGGGAGAGACAAGCAGAGCACTTTAGAACCGGTTCCCTTCCACAGGACCTTCCCCTCCACACACATATCCCCAGTTCTGTTCTTACCAAACCCATCCCCTCCAAAGTGTGCTCTGACTCCTACCTTTACCCACTAGAGTCCTCCGTCTTCTCTTTTCCCTGTCTGCCACCTTGCCTCTGGAACCCCTGAACACCATAACCTAGGTCCTTACCTGAACCACTGAATTTGGGGAAACCCTTTGCGCTATTACCCACGCTCTCCCTTTCCAAATAACTGGTCCCTCTACAGGCTCCAGAGCCTGTCCATTGCCCTGATCTGGGAGCAAACTCCTTTCTACTTCTCCAAGAGAAGGGGCGTAAGTGTGTGCAATGCCCAACCCCCCTTACCCAGAGCACAAGTCTTAATCCGTGTTACTTTTCTTCCTCCACCCTTTCCAAACCCTCACCTCACAGCCTCCTTAGCATCCATGCCTCTTAAACAGTCTCCTTTCCCTCACCGCTGTCTATTCCCCATCCACCTCCTCCCTGGACCTCTCAGATACTTAGTTCCTCAATGCCCATTTCTCTGCTCTCCCCTCCCCCCTTCCTGTGACCACCCCATCACCAGCCCTGTGTGCAATATGGAGAGAGACCCTGTACATGAATATATTTTTAGTGTTTCCCCACTAGGCCCCCTGTTTATCTCTGCAATGCACTTTCCTGAGCCTGCCTCTCTGGACTAGTTTTCTCCAACTTTGCACACTGTCCCTATTTCACAGGGCCTACCCCTATACCCCCAACTCATGAGGGGTTTCTGACTAGAGAGTTTGGTACAGTGGAGGGCAGGTCCCTCAGCCTGGCATAGGAGCTATCTTCTGGTTCTAACCAGGCTGCCTTCTAGTATGACTGGAAGCCCCACCTCCCAGTATTTCTGGACATCACTCCCTTCCTCTGGATCAGTTATGCTTTTCTGATTTTGAGAGTCTTCTATTGAAATGCAAGTAGTAACAGCTGCATTTGTACTGCACTATCTCCCAAACTGGATCCCCACATCAACTGCAAAGGGAAGAAACTGCTCAGGAAGATCAGAATGACTTCTAAGCCACTCATAGTCACTGGGAGCCTCCCAGGGATTAGAAACCAGGTGTCCCAAGCCCAGAGCATGCTCCAGAACCTCACTCTGTAGTGATGTGAGTTTGACCTTAGACAACAGTCAGTTGCTAAGGAAGTACTGACTGAACTTCACTGGGGTAGAATGCAAGGAGTGAGCAGAGGAGGGTGTTAGGAGGTGGGCGAAAGGGTTGGCCACTGCTTCACTACTGTCCCCAGTTCCAGTTTTGCTGCTGTGCTGCTCTGCCTTGGTTGCCTGCTGCACCTGGCCATGCTGCCACCTTCCTTGTCATTTTGACCATGGCTGTACGACAATAAAATGAACATTTTGCCCACCCTCTGTGTCTGTTTTGCTTCTCAGTGGGGAGGGCTGAGACACATTATCCCCCCCCTTCCCCGACAGCCTGTATTAGAGAGGATCTCTAAGCCCCATGGCGATGGGGCTAATGACTTCCTAGGAGGGAGTAGGGTGGGAGGGCTGCTGGCCATTGCGCACCCCCACCAAGCAGAGGAGAGAAACTGCCGCTGGGAACCAAGGGCTGCAGCAGCATGGTGCCCTGGCAAGCAAGCCTCCAGCCTCAATTTCCCTTGGACCAGGGGACTCGGCTGCTACCCAAATTCTCTCTCTCAAGTACTCCTTGGCATTCAGGGATCAGCCTCCCTGAACCCCAGGATCCACGCGTCTCGTTCTTGACTCGCTCATGGCCAGCCGTGCTTACTTTCCTCATTTTTGGGTGGGCAGTACGTGGTGGGAGGAGGAAGTGGAGGGAGCCTGGCACTACCTCCCCACTCCTCCACCCCGGGAGCTGAGCTTTGGAGCAGCGGAGACTGCAATCCCGAAAAGAAACACGCGGGGGCGCCAAGACGTGTGCGAACGCGGGCGAGGCAGAGCAAGGTGGTTTCCGTCAGTGTGAGTGTGCCCATGGGCGTCTTTGTGTGTTTGCGTTTCTTTACATGTGTATACGAGTCAGGGGGTGTCTGGGTGGGATGTATTTAGGACAACATGCCTGGCGTATCCCACAATCAGATACCTCAAGTGGCTTTTTGATAAGGAAGATGCTTGATATATTACTATGTATGCGTGGATGGGGAGGCTGGCGACTTATGTGTATTGTTGCGTGTGCACGGCGCAGCCTGTGACTCCCTGAAACCAGGTATTGGATTCTTAAAGTCGCATCCCTTGAGGGTCTTGACCCCCTCCCACCACCCCGTAAAAGAAATGAAGGCTTTCTATGCAAATCTCCATTGCACTCTACACATTCTCAGCATAGGTCTGGGTGACTCTGCTAGGCGAGGTGTGACATTGTGTTTGTGTAAGTGGGTGTGTCTCAGAATCTCAGTGTAACTCTATATTGTGATAGTATGTTGTGTGTGTGACAGGTGGATGTTGGGGGGAGCTGGTCAGGATTATAGAAGTACATGATTCCCTTTTTCTTGTTAGTTTGTGGTTACCACCTTCACGGTGTGTGTGTGTGTGTGTGTGTGTGTGTGTGTGTGCTTGTTCCTTTTTCATTCTCTCTAGTAGCTGTCTCTTTGTGTCTCTCCCTGTCTCTGTCTCTTTTTCTCCTCTCACTCTTTCTTGGTGACTCATCTCTGCAGCATTGCCCTCCCCAGGCTTGCTGGGTCTCCCCTCCCCCACTCAAGAGTGTGTGTGGGGTCTCTGAGGAAATGAGACCACAAGACTGAAAATCAGGGTGAGCACCCCGTTCTCATTACTCATCATTTCCGAGGCTCCAGTGACCCCATCTTCTCCCCAGTCCTCTTCCTAGGACTCCCCACCTCTGGGAGGGGTGGGAGTAAGGCAATAACGTTTTCTAAATGGGACTATTTTCAGGAGTCCTTCAGCACCTCATTTCAGTTCAAAGTGGAGACCCCTGCCCCTCTCATAAAGTGTCCCCTCCCAGCCTGTCCCCCCTATGGCTGACGCAATGAAAGGCTGCAG